TTTTGCGATTGCCATTTTGATGTGAATTAGCATTTTGAAGGAATATTTTTGGCGATTTACTGACGTATCTTTTGAATGGGTTCATGGGTTATAATTTGTTTCTATTTCTAATATAAAAGTGATGGGATACTCGAGGTTCTAAGCAAGAAGCAGGAGTGTTTGTGGGACCCCAAAAAATCCCCTGAAACTTTTACGGACTTACTACCGACATTTTGGTGTTTCGAGAAGGGGGGGGGAGAAATGAAAAATTACAATTATAAAGTATTGAATGACCTAATTATAAAAGTTCAATGAATTACTTTTTTGCAAAATTAATAACCATAAATTTTCAAACATATAAACTACTACATTTTATGTAAATATTTTAAATTACCTGAATTAATTCTTTAAAAAAAATTATCTAATTTCTGCTGCTTTTTTTTATTTTCTGCTGTTTGTGGGCTTGTCTTTCTTCTTTTGTGGTGAACTTCATAATTGCAGGAAGGTTGACTTTTATTTTCCTCATTTACAGTTGAAGAAATTTCCTCGAGAACTGCACATGCAGAGGTAGAAGCAGTTTGCTTTTCTGCTAATGTAGAAGGTTTTTCAGAGACTTTTATAGGTGACTCATCTGAAATACATGTTTTCCAACTTCTGTTCATATTCAGTAAGAGATCTTTGTGAATTGGATCAGTCACTGGATTTTTTTAGCCATATTTTTCACATGAGGTTTCTTCAGAAGCCATTAAATCATATTTAATAGTCTGCACTGCATCTAGGGAATCAATCTTAAGAGAGGTTCTATAGTCAGTGACAAGTGTATCCATTAAGTTGAATGCACTTTCCACTAATAGGCCATGGAAGCAGCTAAGGCAGGCTTTGACCAATTTAGCCAATGTAGGATACTTATAATCATTTGTGAAATCATCTTTTAAATTAAAAACTTTAGACCAATATTTATCAATTGAACACTTGACTTCATTTCTACTTTCATCAGATGTGTAGAGCATTTCTTTGGTGATATCAATATCACTCTGGTATAACCTTATTTCAGCTTCTACTTTTGACTTTTCATTATCACTAAAAATATGGGACATAAAAGATAATAATTTTTCAAAAGCTAATATTGTACTGGTTTTACCTCTTAGCTCTGGATCTAATGCTGTAAAACTAATTAGATATGAATTTTTAAGGGGTAATTTCTGTTTCATATGCTGTGCTGTATTAGTATAAGCTTTCATCAGAGAAATTTGTAATTCTTTTGCTATTGGATGATTTTTTTTTGATAATTTCTTCTTCAGGAGAGTGGAAGCTTCTGCACCAGTAAATATTACTTTGCTAGGCAGATGGAATTCTGGATTTGTGACATCAACCTTTAATAAATCATTATAAGATGTGCACTCTATATTTTCTGGCTTCATAAAAAAAGAGAAAAATTTTGCCATCAATTTATAAATACTGGAATGTATTAAATGAAGCATTGTTTTTTTTTTTTTTCAAATAATTTAATATATGTGTTGAACTCTGGTAATACTGCTGAATATAATGCCATATGCAATAAAGTTTTGTTTTGCATAACAAATAACCCCCATTTAGTATTCTTTTTTTTTTTTTTTTTCCGAGCTAAAGCAACCTTTGTGAGTTGTTGGGAATGCAAGCAAGAATACACCCCTTCAAAAATTTTTTTCTGAGCTGCAGAAATATTTTCTTTTATTGTATACAGTTTCAACATAAGAAAAAATAATCCCCTTTATCAGTTTTATCCAAGTAGTGAAAATAAAATGCAATAAGAGCATCCCACAGATCTTTGATTCTTTCTAAAACACATAAAATGTACACCCACCTATGGTCTGGTCTCTTCAAGGGCTTAAGTTTTTTAATGGCAAGGGATTCACAGATTTTGAAAAAATTTTCACTTTTACTGCAGCTTTTCATATCAAAATAGATGTCATCAAAAAAATCTTCTAAGTATCTATCAAAACATGAAGCAAATTTTTTTGCACAGTTATTAGCTGTGTGACATGTGTCACCATTCAATATCTAATAAGTGGGGTGCTTTGTTTGATCGTAGTCTGGTTTCAACACCCTTTTTTTTTCCACGCATGGTGTTACATGAGTCCATTAATACACTAATTAAGTTTGCCCATGGAATATTATTATCTTCAATAGTATTAACAACTGCTTTAAAAACAGCTTCTGAATTGCAAGATTCCATCTTTAGAGATTCAAAATGATGAACTACAACTTCATTTTGATTGTTGTCATAAAACTGCACCAATATTGCCAGTATACTTTCTTGAACATTACTAGTACTTTCATCCAAATTTAGAGAAAATGGAGTCTCCTTTAAAGTTTTAATGATATTTTCCTTAGTAGTTTTTGCTAGCCCATATTTCATCTTATAACATGAGTAGTCCTCGATAATTCCAACAAGTTTAGTGCCGTCTGAACGCGGCTCAACTGTTTGCAGAGTTCAATTAAATTGGGAGCTACATTGAAAGAAAGAGAATTCTCGGCGATAATCGAAGTTATTAATACCTCTTGGCGTGCTTTTCTTGTCACTATATCCAATGGCCGAGCATCAGTCTCCAGTAAGTCATCAGTATTTTTTGAATTAGCATAATTACTTAAAGTCATTGAATGTCTAATGCACTTTGAATATTTTATGTGCGCCACAGTTTAGAATGATTTGTGAAAGCCTTAATCCTTCCCCACCATACTTCAGCAGTGAGTTACAAAAAACACAATATGCTTGTCCAGCAACATTTATTTTCTTGCACCATGTGCCGATGGTATCCCCATTACCATCTCTCCATTCAATCCAATTCCACCTGAATGCGTTCCGGACACCTTCTTCTAATTGTATAATATCACTACTTATATCGAGAAATTTCATAGTGAAATTCTCTTGCGTACATAAATAAAAAAATATTTCAATAAACAAAACGAAAAATGTACACGTGCATCAATAAATGAAACGAAAATTTTACACAGCGGAGGGAAAAAAGTTGAGAAGCGATCAATGACAAATAGCTAATACCGCGAAAAATCCCCCTTCTCTACTTATTGGCGCCGTGCCAGGAGAGATAAGACCTTTGAACCCAGAGTCACGTGATCGCACATCTGGTCGAACGAAGTCTCTCCCTTTTTTTCTGCCGCGCCTACTTGTCGAAAAGAATCCAGAAGAGAATGTCCAAGAACCAGGGGAATGAGTCATAACTCGCAATAAGGAAAGAACAAAAAAGAAGTTTTTCCCCCTTTTCACCCATTATCACTGACCTTGCGTTTTCTGCTTTCAAAGCAAACAAAATTACCCAGATGAAAATAAATAATTCATTATTATTCCTACTTCCTTTTGAACGACGATCCCCGAAATTTCCGGGGATCGAAATTCAGAATCCCCGGAATTTCAGAGTTTCCCTGGAGCACGAACACCCCTGAAGAAGTGAAACGTAAGCATAGCAAAATTCGTTTTTTTTTTTTCTGATAAAGAGCCCTTAAACAATTTTTCACTTTTGGGGATGTGAATTCTTTTAGTAAACGGTTCTAAATTTGGCGACTTACCCACTTACGACTTTCCAAAGTTCCGACAAGATTAAAACCATTTTCACTTGGGAAAACCATATTTCAAAGTTAGTGTTATCCAGTTTCTCAGTGTGAGTGTTTCAATATTAGTGTTATCCAGTCTCTCTGGTTCATCAGCTTCAGTAAAGCTAAGGAAAAAAAAAGTAATTGTTCTTACATTTCTTTTTACCAAAAAACACAGACGTTTCCAAAGTCAATTGGACAAAAAGTTCATTGGACATATACTTAGATGTATATCTCGAATGGACTTTTTGGGTATCTGTGAAACTGGGTTTCATTATCTGTTGTTTGGTTTTGGTGATGTTGAGAGTATTTGCGTAGTGTAAGACGTGGTTACCCACTAAAGCATGCATACATTTTTATGGGTGCTTTCCTTGAGCTTAACAAAACAGATGAACAAGATATGTCAACTTATAACATCTGAGGGAAAACGCGGCTCAAAATATAGTTAAAATGATGAATAACAGGTAATTTATTCGACTGGTATGTTGACAGGTACTTGGCTGCAACAATTCCATGCAATATTTCATATAAATGCTGTTTGGAACTCTGTGTTAGATTTAATCATGGCTACAGGCCATGTCGATAACCAGGATGACACACACTCGGATAGGCAGTCATCACGCATTTCTTGGCTTCTACCATGGGATTAAATAGATATAAACTTTTCACCTCTTCAACACTGCACAACCACAACAGAGATTGCAAATTTCCCATATTGGTTCTTAATGAGTTTTTTAATTGATGAGGTACTTAATGAGTTTAACGTCAACAGTTAATTTCTTATAAATGTAGTGAATTCATGCATAAAAACTAATTTCTGAACATAACAAAAGAAAAAAAATATTACTTTTTAGCTTGCTGAAACAGTGTAATGCGTACAACGGTATTCCTTTTCATAAATAAAATATAACAATAAACTTTCTTCTCATTTGCTTCTCTGAGTCTGTAAAAATAAGCCAAAAGTGCACATTGGTGATGCACATTTAGATAATATTTAAAATTTTCATTTTCATAAATTTGTATCAAAACTATTCATTTGGCATAAATAAACATAAATAAAAAAAATTCCTAGAATGTTACCTTAAGAGTTTTGTTTTCTAAATAACTTGAATGAAATATAATTTGCTGATAAATTATTAAATTAAGCTACTTATGCTACAAAGATTTTAAATACATGTGTATATGTATTTATAAAGAAACTCTTACCACAGTTTTGAGGGCACGGAAATCGATCCTGTTGTATATGTATTTACAGGTTCATTTAACTTTATGCTAACTTTTTACTTTTTTAATCATTATTTGCAATAAATCTGTATTTATATTGATTAACATAAAATTATATTGCATACAGTTATCGTGAGAAGTGAATAAATGTTGTAGTCCTTATGAAATCATGAAAATATACAAATTGTAATAATCTTTTTCCCCCCCAGTTTTATATAAATGGAAGATGGCATACATGGATTGATTATGAAAAATTCCACTTGCTCATTAAAGAATTCTATGAATCAAATAGAACAAAATCATTTGCCAGCGTTGATTATATGTATCCAACCCCAGAATGGGCTGTCATAGGTTCTGAAGAAAGAGGCTTTGATCCAAGTGAAACAAGATTCTTTAGAAAAACTAAGAAAGATATTAGTGGTTGCTGATTTTTATGAAAAACTGTTGATCGATTTTATTTATGCCAGTTTTACTTTGTGATATATTGTACTATTTATAATAAATTCTAGAAAATTAATATTCCACAAAATTAGCTTCATTAATATAGTTTAGCAATAAATGACACGTGTATTTATCAGATAATAACACGAACATAGTATTTTGATAATTGGTAAAATTAACATATTATCACTATTATTACATAATTATTCAACATATTAACGGTAGCAGGGATATTCATTGTTCTTTTCATATGGCGACACAGCCCGAAATTATAAAATTAAAATTTTTTAATTGAAAAATAAAAAAAAATCTGAAAGGTTTCAGATTTTAAATTACTTCCAAACAGGATTTTTTTTTTTTTATATTTGTGTATTACCTTTATTTATTAAATATCATGTTCTACGTACTCAAACCATAAAATTCAGTTCAACAACAATATCGCAAAATAATTTTAATTTGAGCATATTATTAGAATTTCCAATATGCACTAGTAATAAAAATGCCCCCCCGTACAGTGTTGCCATTGCTCACTTTGAAATCGTCAAGTTTGTTCATCAAAAATTCGTTGAAGTGTTACAAATTATGAAATCGATAATAAAAAAAATTTCAAATTCAAATTAGGGCTTCTGCATACCCATATTCTATGGAAGATTACATTATTTAAATTTTGATGGCTCTAGGTACCGTTGTTTTATCAACGAATACGAGAAACATATATATTCATGCAGATTATTCATTATTTAATTTCTTTAACTATAATATTGGGCGATAAAATTTGGTGGCAACAATTTGAAAAGTTATTTATAGTTTTCAACGCAAAAAGCCAAAATGAAATTAAAAGCCCTTCAGGGCAAATTGCCTCTTTGGACTAAAAATTATAAATTACAAATTACTGCAATAAAAAATATAATATTATAATATAATAATTGTATTTATGCCACCCCACGGAACAGACAAGTATGACCAACCAGTCAGTCAGGCGGGCGTCAACATGTTAATTGTAAATGAAGTAGCCATATACTTGTGTTAGCAAATATTATATTCATTAAAAGAAATACTCTTCATTTGTGTTTGTTTGTGCATCAGTTAAAGCTTGTTCTGCAAGGCAGCAGAAACAAGCCAGTTGTTTTTATCATTCAAAGATTAAAATTCACTTCAAATTTCATAACTACCATAATTTAAGCTTCTTCTTTAAGGGCTAAAAATTTCGACTACCAATGCATGTCTTTAAAATTTTTCTTTGAAATGAAGTTACATATTAGATAAATTATATAAATGATATTTGGATTTCTAACCATAATAACAAAAATGAAAGTCTGAATTTCAGCAATTTTATCGTATGTTTATATCTATAAAAATTTAAATTAAGTATTAGCGGTTGCATTTAACAATCTTTAGGTGAATTCTTCATTTGTTCTGTTTTTATAACAATGACATTGTGATATTTTTCACATCTTTTGCATTAGCATTTTAATTGCAAATCAGGAAATATATAATGAAACAGTCGCGAGTTCAAAAGAAACTAAACGTCATTTAAAAAACTTCCTCATACTCATGTTACATGTAAGAAAATCTTTATTCAGCTCTCTTGTTGCGTGAATCTGTGAAACACCAGATTTGGGAGAGGCTAAACCCAATATGAATTGTCATTATGAAGTGGTTCGAGTGATCTTGGCCACTGATGTGCTCATATTTGCGTAATTTGATCTGAGTGTTAAATGTCTTAAATTACTATGCCAAGATTTATTGTCGCCCTGATCAGTAAATTAGTGTTGTTAGTAAATGTAATAATGTCTCTGCATTATGAAGCACTTAAAATACACAGCAAGCAAAATCTTGAGTGTTTTTGATGATAGAAGTTTGGGAGAGCCTTGGACCCTTTCTTCGGGAGAATCTTCTTCAAAATTGGGATGGAAGTCATACTATCCCCTATAAAGCGGCCAAGGCACATACAATCCTGTCTCATTGCCACAATAAAAATCCGTGCACTTGTTCTAATGTTACTGTCTGATAAATCAATAAAAACACAATTAGTGTTTATAAAAGCCTAATTTAACAACCATATGCCACAGGGCCCAGTTCCTAGTTCTCAGTTGTTGCCTTTGGGTTTTATTTATTTTCAGTTATGGCTTTCTTACACAAATTGAATAATTTAAAAGCAACATATAATATATTTGTACTTAACTTTTAATATCTCTGACTGATGCAATTCCTTATATATATTATAATGTATGTTAACTGCAGAGCATTAAAATTGTAGCACTAGCATGGACAAAACTTTGTAAATTCCTTACAATTCAAAGAAATCATTAAAATTTCAGGGTGTAGTAGACATTTTGAGATACTGCAGGCCAGGTACTGATATTCATTTCCAGAGTTCATTTGTAATTACTGATGAGCTTTGTCATGAAATTGTGAGTTACATCATAATATGTCCAGGTGGCAGAAAGATCAGAAGAACATGCCAGACAAGACAGAATCATAATCAGTATATTGAGCTGGCACTGCTCTGATCAGTATAGTGATAAATGATGCTAGTTGCCATATAATTTTCCTGGCTTGGATGCAGCATAGGGGAACTTTAAATACTAGTAAGCCAAAAGTCTGCATGAGAGGATTGTTGGAGAGAAAAGGAAGTTGGAGGCCCTTATCCCTCTTTACCAAAATTGGAACAGAGTTAGTACAGTTAGTACTTTCAGGATTATGCCTGTAAAAACATTCATGAAATTTTGATGCCTTAGTAATTTCTTCCCGTCTTTTTATATTAAAGAAGTATCAGATGTAGCTTGCAACATATGGTCATGCATGACCATAGGATGCTTCTAAAATTTTCTGGACAACTGTGTCTTATTCTGTAGTTATGAGACAAAAAAGGGTAATAAAAATTAGTTCAGAATGCCAAACATGCATACCGGAATAGGATTAAATTGCATTCAATACCATAATGATGATGTTTAAGACAAGATTTCAAAGTGTTACCCACAATGGCACCATATGTGCAGTAGATTCATCTGAGAAGATGATGTTATACCATTCAAGTATTCATGTATATCATACAGTGCACCATTGGTAGCCACAGACACCTGTGCACAGTATAAAAAGTCCTCGACCTTCAAGACTATGTATGCCATATTTCTTCTTAGATTATACAGTGTTGCTGTACAGTCCATGTGGAAATTCACATAACATAGTACTTCATCCTTCAATTTCATATATGCATGAAAGTACTCCAGTTTTGATTAAGATTTGATATAAGATTATTTGCAGTCATAGGAGATATATTCCACACTGCTGGAGAAATGAAAAAGTAGAGAGAGCACAGTTTCCATGCAAAAGAACCATTCTCTTTTCTTTTAGGTTACATTGTGTCTAATTTGTCATGCCCTGTCATACAACCTTTTTTTTTTTTTTTTTTTTCCCCTCAATCTAAGCAACATATGTTAAATTTAAATGAAAAGGACCTTAGAATTGACATCTTTAATGTTTGAACAAATAGTGAGAAAATAACTTTTAAAACAAAAGTCATGAAGCAATTTTTTTTATTATAATTATTATTATTTTTTTTTTTTTTTTGGCATAAGAAAATTTAAGAGATTATCAACAGACTCTTTCAGCGGTGATAGATCGACTGCATTTCATCAAACATGTGGTTTAAATGTTTTGCATGGTAAGTCCATATGATAAATAATTTTAGATAAGAGTATTTAAAAAACTACAGAAAAAAAGCATCACTTAAAAAATGATCTTCAGTTTATTTTTACAAATATATACAGCATAATTACTTTTTCCTTTTCATTTTACTCTTTTTAATATTTTTCTTAATTGGTTTCTTTTGAGATTTCAATAGAATTTTTTGTTTTCTGGCATCTTTTTTCATCCTTGGATCAACTACTTTGAAACGTCCTTTCACACCTGCTGGGCGTCTGACACGACGACCTGTACCTTTTTTAGCTACTATATAAGTTACATTTCTGTCTTCTTCAGGAAAAGCTTTCTTATAAATTCTGCAAAGGAAAGTATAATATTTAATGATATATATCTTTCAAAGTAAATATTTTTTTAATTGTAATAAAGTAATGATTATTGTTAAAATGAATTCTATTCACTCAGGCTATCAAGCTACATATCTGCCAACTCTTTGATAATTTTCACCATGCATTTCATGAGAAACTTCTAATATTCAGTTTTAATTAATAGCTGAACAGTTAAAATTAAATACACAGTAGTGAAGAATCTGGTGGGCTACCACTGTGTAAACAAGTGGTGCGTCCGACTCCTTATAATGATTGGTACGTTTGTGAGGTTGCATGATACTTACTGCATTATTGAACTAACAACTTATTTATTACAATTACAAGAAACTCATTACAAATATATTGTGTCATATAAAAAGTCTTCATTTTTTTTTTTTTTTTTAATGTCACTAGATGATGATGATGCTTATATATCCGGCAATACTCACCCGATTGTCTCAAATGAATTCAGGTGACATTCAGATTCCATTGTTTGTGAAGATAGTTTTCTAATTCACTGCCCATGTAAAACGTTACACTGATTTGAAAATGAGTGAAATATCTGAAGAAATGCGCTACGTGATTTTTAACTGTAAAAACATGCTGAAAAATTTGTGAAGTGTATGATGAGAATGCTGTGAGTGCATGAAGGATCCAGGAGTGGTTTGCTCGATTCTGTTCCAGAAATTCCGATATTAAAAAACTTGGAACTGTCCATTATGAACTGCTGCAACCAGGCAAAACCATGAATTCGGCCCTCTACTGTGCACAACTCGGCCATTTTAACAAAGTAGTTCAGAAAGTGCGACTACAATTGGTGAACAGAAAGGGAGTTCCATCATGAAAATGTGTGGCTACACACATCTTAGATGACTTAGAACAAATTGATGGGGTAATTGGTTGGGAAATTTTCATGAATACATCTTATAGCCCAGACCCTGCACCGTCTGACTACCATTTGTTACAGTCTCTGCAAAACTGGCTAACCAAAACGCAGCTGAAAATCCCGAAATCTGAAAGTTTTTTGATGTTAAACTACAGAGATAATAAATGACACGATAAACTCCGATGCAATTATGAAGACATCCCAAAAATGGAAAAGGTCGTACATAATATTGGTCAATATGTACTTGATTAAAATTGGTTTCCAATAAAGAAAATTTTTGTTCAAAAGTGTACCAAAAAACTGTAAAGACTTTCTATATGACCCAATATATAATTCATGGATAGCATAAACAATTATTGAAATGAATTATAATGCGAGGAGCCTGCTAATGAGGGTCTCTCTAGTCAAGCTTTCAGGAGCCTCTGGAATGTTGCTCTGATGGGGAAAATCTGCAGACCGATTCCCACACCTAAATTTTTATTATTCATTATATCTGGAACGATATCAGAGGAAAAGCAAAATCACTGGTTCACTCCTGAAATCGAGATACTTAAGACTAATCAGCTAAATTATTGTGTCTGTGATGTCAGAAACATGTCGTGTGACACATCATAAAGCTTGAAAGTAGTGACTTGCAGGGGGGGGATCACACACATGATTTTCTCATCTCTTTGCAGTCTGCCAAACATTTTTATATTAAGGAAACTTTTAAATTTTCAACAAAATAATTGAAATTTAATTCATACTTATTTAATTTACTCTTTCTCACTTATTTGATTTATCCCGTCCTCTTTCGAGACCACAAAATTAAATAGGATTTAACACTTAAATGCACGTAAAAAAAAATTTCTAATAATTATATGAAATTTGAAGTATCCAGGAAAAGCAAAATGAGAATGATAACTAAGGGATGAATTTTGGGGAAAATCTTGAAGCCAGTTTATAGCAATTTTCAGAATACTTTTTAAGCAAAGTATTACCCCCCCCCTGCAACAGACATGAAGATTCAAAACTGATTAGTTAAATTGAAGTTAGGCTAGGTCAGGGTTTCTTAAACTTTTTTTAGTCGCTCCCAGGGCCATCCAGGAAGTAGATTACGTTTCCGTCTGTGTCCGCTAGGGGCGGGGCTAGCGCGGCCATCTTGGGGTCAGAGCGTTGCGCAGCTCAGTCTGCATCTAGCCGTGCTAGTGAGAGGTTCGTGCTGTGCTCCGTTCAGATACTGTGACGGTTTGAAATGTCTGCGTTAATTGAAAATCCCGCAGCTGCGAGGTGCGCTCAGTAATAAGGTTTCTGACTGCAAAAAACTGTAAACCGATAGAAATCTATCGGCAGCTTCGTGAAGTGTATGGGGACAACATTATCACTGAAGGTGGAGTGCGTCAGTGGGTCATAAGATTTCAAAATGGCCGAACCAATGTTCACGACGAAGATCGAAGTGGGAGACCCAGCATAGTGACCGCCGAACTTCTCGAAAAAGTCGATGCTAAAGTCCGTGAAAATCGAAATTTCACAATAACGGAACTTTCTTTGAGTTTTCCACAAATTTCGCGAAGTTTGTTGCACGAAATCATCAGCGAAAAGCTTGGTTACCACAAGTTTTAAGATGGAAGGCAAGAAGAGGTAACGAAGTGGTTGAAGGCGCAGGCGGCCGAATTTTTCGACGAAGGAATTTCCAAGCTCGTACATCGCTACGATAAATGCCTTAATTTGTATGGTGACTATGTAGAAAAGTAGTATTTGAGTGTGGCTTTCATCTGTATATAATAAAATTTGTTTCCTATACTTTGTTTATTTTTTTATTCCATGACACCCCATTAAGCATTGTGCAAATCCGGCACACGGGTGTCAATTTTTGTCACTGTAACTGTCAATTTTTTTCACTTGTAGTGTAATATACTATTGCAGTTTTAGGTCAGTGTGAAAATTTTAAATAAGTAACATACGAAATGACAGCGTCATGTGCAACGCAAGTAAAATGAACGTTTCTTGAAGAAATGCATCGAAACGTTTTCCTTCTTTCTTTGTCTGTATTGTCTTTATCTATTTTCAGATATATTGTGTAAAATTATTTGGTAATTGTAAAATTATTATAATAAGTTAAAGAAATATCAAAACTGCTAAATTTTTTGGCAACCTCTGCTGCAGGTCACGACCCACAGTTTAAGAAACACTGGGCTAGATGATACTTGAAATTAGGGTGAAAATGCTAACTGTTTGTATGAAAAGCACTGCATCTTATACAAGCCCAAACCTAAGTCTATGTTAGATGCAGCTTGTGAATACTAGAAGCTGTTTTTAAAAGGGTTTTCAAAACTTGCCGAATGATGATAAACAGAATCATTTTAACAGAGAAGGCTGTTCTTCTAGTGGTTGAATTCAAAAGAATATCATAATTTATGTATGGTAGAATAAAAATTGAAAATAGATGATTCTATAAAGAAAAATGAAGATAATGAAGTAGAGTTTTATAGTAAAAAGTGGCACGATCAATTATACGTTCAGGCTCAACTCCACTACTTTCAGTGTCATAGGCAATCAGTACAGTTAGGATGTCGTATAAATTCTTTATTAACTTGTTGTAGTTTCTTTATTAAAGATAGAAGTTAAACTACAGTAAATTATCCATTATTAACCCAACTGTCAGGGACACCGAAATATGATACAGCAAAAATCAGTAACTTAATTTTTCATTTATTATCTTTTGGCCTTTCTATTCAGTGATGAGTTAACATGCTTCTAGGCCACCCAGACAAGAAAGATATTAGTGACACTAACAGCCGTACCAAAGGGTGCAAGTTCATGAAGCATGGAGAAAGCATAGATGATTATAAGTACATAGTGTTTCTACTCAAACTCACTGGCACAGCAGCCCTAGTGGGCCAGGGCTAGCAGTACCCCAAAATCTGCTTTCTTGACCGTGGGCCCCGGGGTGCATAAGCATATGAACCTGAACATGTGGTTAGGTTGTCGTAGGACCCCCAGTGTCCACAAGCGAACTTGATGCTCATTTTATCGACCCAAGGGATGGAAATCAAGGTATGAAGGGCTGAGTCGCCCTTGCTCAGCCCGGGGATAGAACCCTGGACCTGTTGTGCGGTGCACCGAAAGTCCTCAAATGGTTTGATGATAGGCAAAGAGGGATGGGGGTCATTCCCCAAAGTGTTCTCCTTCAAAACTAATGCAGATTTGGACAAAGCCATACTGTTATCTAAATGATACTCTGACAAATGCAATCTCACACTTCTTGCGACGATATAAATCACAATATCTCAACATGGATCAATGCACAAAGAAAACAGCAAACCAAATTCTTCACTGATGAAGAAATCATTTGTAGTATAGATCCGCAGAATGACAAAAAAATTTAAGAATGTGAAAATCAGCATTGAGGACTTGATTTTAACTTATTTTGATTCTGGTTAAAGCTGCTTCCTGCCTAAAAGGAGGGATGACGTTGTGAAAGAGCTTTTTTTAAGAGAAACATGCATATTCATACTTCCATGCAGTCAGTCCATTCACAAGGATTTGAACTTGAAACTACCAATATTGTCTGATAGCAAAGCCGCTTTGCATGTTCGGAAGTTTGCACTTCCGAATGAATTTATGAATACAGAGAGCTTCTCTGCATTCATAAATTCACTTTGGCTGGCTCATTAAGCTCTGGCAAGATCAAGACTAATGGCATAGAGGCCAAATGTCTGGCAATGTATAAATAAACATTAATTAAATATACGTAATTGATTTTGTTATATATCTTGTTGCACTCTTTATAATTAAAAGCATTCATATAATTTAAGAAATTTATATATTACAATAATTTAAAACATTGTTTTAATGGGGGAAAACTTACGTTTTAAGTTGCTCAGCTTTTTCCTTAGCACTCATATCAGGGCAATCAGTTATCTTTTCAGCTTTCTTTTTTGCTTTTTCCAGGCGTTTCATGGCCTAAAAATAACATATAAAATATTTGAATATATATAATATTTTCATACATCATACCTGCCAACCTCTAAAGATAAAAATTCAGAAGATTTCTCCAAAATTCAGAAAAACACAAAGAATTAATCTCATTCTTTGCTATTAAAAAAATAACAATTTATACAAATAGAGAAAAGAAAATTGTACTTACATTAGTAAATCTCAATTAAGTAGTAACTAAGAAATTTATTAGGAAACATTAATGTTACACAAAAAAATTATTGCAATGAATTTAGAGTGCATTTTTTGGCTTTAGCCAAAAATTCTTTGGAAAATTTCCTGTCATAACAATTAGTTTCCTCATAACATTTAGCAATTAAAATGTTTTCTAGAGTTTTTGGTGAAATTGAAGAACGAAACATAGTTTTGTTTTCATTTCATTAGAAACATCACAGAAATACGTGACAACGATGGGGTAAAGCTTCCAATCGCTGTCGTTGCTGCCATCGGTTGACACCGAAAATGCTGAATTCTGGAGTGCAGCTATCGTTCCACTTTCTATTGTGAACAATCCCACCATGCATCCACAAGCAATTTCGTTCACAATAGAATATGTTTTCGTGCAAGCACAAGCATATTTCTGAGCAATCTTGGAGTCAGGAAACATCCGTCTGAAAAGTTGACCGGCGTGATCAGCAGCGCTTAGCGGCACGTTGTGTTCGATGAGGAATGCAGTAAACAAACACTCTGCCAAAATGACATCGGCATCCGAATTCGTAGCCGAATTTGAAAAAAAAAAATCATCCACTTTCTTTGACGTTGTCGAAGCCGAAGCATTAGACGTTCATGCTTTTTTAGACTTAACATGCTTCACAATATCGCACTTCTTCCACCATGTGACTTATTATGAAGTCACACACGTTGTAAAATGCATAGTTATTTCCTTTGAAGGATTCTTTAATTGTTGGAAATTCGGCTTTGTAGGCAAAGCCGAAAATATTGAAGAATACGTTTTTTTTGAACTCATTTCGTAACAACGACGTATTAAGAAAATTCGTAGCACGTGCAAACAAACCCCCCCCAACAACAACAACAAAAAAAAAAAGAATGCGACAATCCAAACGCTCGCTGAATGCATCCGAGCTGAGTAATTCCCTTGCTGCTGAAGCGAAACGCGAAAAAAAATAATCTGGCGCCCACAAAGAAAAGAGTGGGAGAAACAAGTTCAGCGCATTGGATTGGCTGGTTAAGCGGCGAGTTGGGAGAAACCGCAGGTTACTAGATTCGAAGTAGTCGGTAGTTGGCGGTAAAACACGATGCAATTGGCAAAAAATTCTAAAATTTCGACAAAAATCACTAAAAACACTTGAAAGAGGAAAAAAATCGTAAAAAATGGATTACGATCGTAAAATCGTAAAGACAAATGCATTTTCGTAAAAATTACGAAAAATTCGTAAAAGTTGGCAGGTTGCATACATTTAAAGTACAACAAAATAAATAAATAAATTTTGACTATATTTAGCTCACGTTTTTATTATTTTATTGGGTTTTTTATTTGTATAATTTTCATAACACAATACAACACAAGTGGACAGGAAAGAGATTACAGATTAACCCTTTGATGCCCGGTGGTTGCGCCTTGAAACCACCAATTTTCAAATTTTTTTCTCCTCTTCCTTCCGAAATTTTTTAGTGAAAATCAATTGATTACTGATCTTTTACCTCTAAATAACACAAAATGACTACAGAATCATACATCTTTTAGGTCTTAGGGCTTCAAATCGGATGCCTTTTAAAATTTCTTTTCAATGCGACAAAATAACTTCCTTTTATGGAGTTTAAACTTCAAAAGTTATTCATCACACATCATGATATGCATGATTTTGCAGTTATTTTGAGGTAAAAGATCAGTAATCAACTGATTTTCACTCAAAAATTTTGGAAGGAAGAGGATAAAAAAATTCAAAAATTGGTAGTTTCAGGGCGCGACCAACGCGCGTCCAAGGTTTAACAAAAAAGACCATTGAGCATAAAATCTACCAAAGTAGCACGCTGTAAGCATTCAATTCTCTTTATACAATTCATTTACAATTTTATGTCACAAATAATAAAAGTGTGAATATCCAAATAACAAAATCTATTAATTGAATTGCATTGTCATGTAAGCCATTATCTTTTATAAATTTATCAAGGGTACCCCATAGTTTTATAATTCGTAATATAAAATTGCAAATGAATTTTGTAAAGAGAATTATTTAATGTCTTATTCCCAAAAAACTATATTTCTTTTACTTATTTTATGAAAATTCTTCAATTATTTTATGAATTTTAAATAAAAGCTTACAATACAAGAACATTTTTGACATCTTATTTTATTCAGCGATTTGTCTTATATGCCACTAACAATAATAATGCAATTCAATATGCCAAATTGTACCTATTTATATCCTGTATCCATATCAGTATGAATAGTTTGTTTCGGATAACACCCCCCTCCCCCCCAAAAAAACAGTTTGAACTATAGAATGTCACGTTAAAAAGAGAAAGCATTTCTAATATGTTTTTCTACATAAGTTTAACAAAGCTTAACTGAGTTTCTACTAAGAACAAAGTGCATTTTACGGCACAAAGCGGAGCCAAAAAATAGTTTAAAAGGTTCTACTGTTACGTCAGAGATGTCCAACACTCTCATGAAGAACTTAGTACCTCATTTACACGGTGAAGACAAAAAGAACCAGTATGTTTCCTTGTGTGCTCTTTGCTTCTCCATTATCATGAATCCTGTCAGGAACATCAAACTTTTCTCTCGTGTAGTGAAGCAATATATGCCAACTTAAAGCAAAAATATAATGAAAGAAACCTAATAAAAACCTTCTAAACCAGACCAAAAAGTAACAACAAACATCATTAGCATTCTTGAAAGAATGTATTGTTGTGTGTAGGATGGGATGAAAAATACATCATCCACAACCAATCGATGATGAGTAATCAGACCATTTACGACCACTTTCTATTGTGAACAACCATGCTCATAGAACACTTCCAGGAGGAAAAAATCAAGCAAACACAGTATCATTATCCACATGGATAAGATCAGACCACATATGGCAAATATAACAAAAGTTACTATTCAACAGCTTAATTCAGAGGTTCTTTCATATTCTACATATTCACCAGATATGGCTCCTATATAATAACAACTTTTCTAGATGACTCTAGAAATACAGTCTTCGGTGGGTCCTTCAAAATTAATGATTAGCTGCAAACTTTTCTGAATAAATTTTATTCAAATTACTGAGTTTTTATAAAAATGACATCCTAAAACTGCTAGACTAGATTTTGAACAAAGTAATAAAATTAATCACATAATGCATCAGTGATGCATTACTTGATTAGTTTAACAAAGAAAGCAATAAATGTACACTTAACCAAAAATCAGTAAGAACTGATGAATCAATCGGATACCTTCTACAAAGACAAAAACTGCTCGAACTATGGGTAGTAGCCTCAGGTTTCACTGTACATTACATTAGTTTGGGCATTTCTCCCACCCCTTTTTTTTAATAATTTCTTAGTGAAAAGACACAGAAAATATACAAGTATTGTCAAAATGTAAAAATGGTAATTACTTAATGACATTTTTTTGTTTTATTTACTGTATTTGATATAAATTTACACATTACGAAAAGGGACATTTAATCTAGTTTTCAGGCAGGCAAAAACTAATTTTCATACCTCAGAATCACAAAATTTAGGCTAGATAAGTTTCCTTATCTTCCGATACTCCTAGATCACATAACTGACAGGAAATTAGAAAGATTTGTATAGTTTGTTTGTCTAAATACATCCTGACCTGAATAAAATGAGTACATTTTCTGCAGGCAGTGTACCTGCATTCAATACTAAACTCAGAATATAATTTTTACACACAATAAGTTATAAATTAAATTAACTTACATTACAATCACTCAAATAAAATAATATAAGATTTTCTATTTCATAAATTATTTCTTTTGTTAAAAAGAAATTTATTCATATAAAACTGCATTACCCTTCTTTTTTTCCTAGCTTTAGCCTCCACAACTTTCCTTATTGGCCGAGCATTTATTTCTTTAAGTCTTGCTTTATATTCAGCAACCATTTCCTATGAATGCAAAAACACATCTATTTTACTCACTCGTTTAAAAATTAGAAAAAGAAAAATCATATTTTATTTGAATATACTCACAGCAGTTACTGGCAACTGTTTCCTATAGTGTTTTCTTTCATCATCAACAAACCAATCCGGAAGATTTTCATCATTAGAAGCATAACTAAAAAAATTTTTTTAAACCATAAAAATTAAATTAAAAAATAATAATATTATAAAAATTCATAAAATGTAAAATAAAAAAAATAAAAAAATGAGATAATTATATTGATACCGATTATAAGCACTTTCAATTATGTCTCTCTTTTTTTTCTTCGACTCTATAATCATTGCTCCCAAAGCCAAACCTTCAGGATCCAATTTGACTCTTTTCTTTCTTTTTTTTGCTAGGTAATAAGAAAAGGTGAAAAAACTTTAAGCATACACTCTTTTATAACACTCATCTTAGCACAGCATATATTTGCTTTTAATAATATCTGAGAAAGCTTCACCAGTAGTATGTTGCATTAAAAAAATGCTCTAAATTTTCAAATATCCATTCATCATAGTCTCCAAGTTTAGATAAAATTATTGATTTTTATTCCTGCACTATTTGCTTTCACAAAATACTTTGTAACCATATCTTATAAAAAGCCATTATTACAAGATAAATAAAACCTGAAACAACCATTTCAATACAGAAAAGGACTAGAAAAGCTTTACAAGATAAATGAAACAAATTCATTTTTTTATACATCCTTCTTGTCACATAGAAATTCAATCAATGTGCTAACATATAAATAAAGGATTAACTACAGCTAAACAAAGCAGCTTTACTAAAACATTCTATTTTTACACACTTTTTTTTACAATAGCTTGCAGCTCACATGTCATTTATGAATTTTTGCATTTTAAATCCATTAGTGCCCAGTATTTTAATTTATTTTATTGAAAGAAACACTTCAGAGTTCCGGAACTTTCCAGAAAAGTAGTTGTACAGCTCTTCACAGCATCAAAGAGTATGATCAGTTGTTACACTTCAAATTACCAAGAATGTTAAACACAATGCAATTCAAAGCACATCTAAACAGCAAAGGATATTTCAATATACACTGAATCTGAATATACAGTGAACTAACAATTGACAATGAATAGCAGATCCTTTCTCTGGTCTTATATACACTCACTTCCAAAAGTTAATCATGATTTGTAAAATGCAAAAAAAAATCAAAAAATACTGCTTTGATTGATACAAAATTTGGCAGGAAAGTAGCATATATTTTTATGCATAAAACAAAATCAATAATTATATACAGAAATGAAGACAATATTAAATTTTTGTATGTTATCAGATAATGACAAAATGAATACTTAAATAGAATTATGTATATAGCGAAAATAAACAGCATAAAATGAAAAAAATGACATTAATTGGGTATGTGATCCCTCTTATTTGTATACAAAGTTTACACCTTGTGACCATGCTTTCAATTACGTGGTCAACCCCCGCAGAATTAAGCAATTGCCATTCTTCTTGTAGAGCAGCTCAATAAGTGGCTGGAGGTGGGAAACGTGAACATAAAGCACGGCTGAGAGCATCACAAAGATTTTCAATTGGATTAAGGTCGGGCGAATATGTTGGCCACCTCATCCGCGCTATTCCTTCACTTTTAATGGACGTGTGTTATCGTCCATTAAAACAAAAGCTGGGCCAATTGCTGCAGCATACAATCTTACAATGGGTTATAGGACTTCATCTCGATACCAGACAGCTGTCAAACAACCCCGTTTAAAGATGTGCAGGTTGGTGCGGTATCCTAATGAAATCCCGGCCCACACCATAATGCTTCCACCTCGGGAATGTGTGATGTTCGGCGATGTTTGGGGGATTGATTGCCATATCCTTATACGCTTGTCATCCGGCACCAGAGCAAATCTTGACCCATCAGTAAACATGACATTGCCCCAGTCCAACTGGTATGTTCCCGGCACCACTGTAATCGTGCCCCTCTTGATTGGACGAATAGAGGGAACACAAACTCGAGGTACCTGGGCGTACAATCCACTCATATGTAATCTTCGGCGTACAGTAGCTGCAGATATTGCCTTACCAATGGACGCTGTAACCATAGATGTCACACGTGTGGAGGTCGCTCTGCGATTCCGCTTGGCTACAATAGCAATATATCGATGTTCCGTGGGGGTTGTAACCCTTGGGCGACCAGCTACGGGCCTTCGCTACTGTCTGTGTGCTTTGGAATTGTTTCCATAAACGTGAAATTACAGCATGATGAACGCCGAAGAAAAGAACAACATCTGTGATCGACTGTCCTGCTTCAATGCGCCTCACAGCACGCCAGCACTCAATCTTCCATTTGTCTTCTGGAAGTCATAGAAACACGTATGTCTTGAAAACCAATTGTACGAAAAGTTTTAAACACCTTCTATCAGCACTTACAATCAACTTCTGTAACCCTTCATAAAGCTGGCTTCTTATAAGACTGCCTTTTCTGCACATTTCTTGACATGAAAGCGTAATTGGCTGTAACCTAACATATTTGCACACTTCCATCTACCTCTGCAGCGAATTGCATCCTCTTTAATTCTGCTTGGCTTCCGGAAATTAGCATTTTCCTCTCCGTGCTTAACTTTTGGAAGTGAGTGTAGTTTTCGCCCAAATGCTGAGATATTCTAGTACTTGAAGGCAAATACTGTTGGCTATATACAGTTACATGGAACACCAATCGCAATTATTCAGTTTCAACATTCATCACAGTTATACAGGGATTGGACCAAAATGTAACCAAATTTCATTACTTTTGGTGATTTCTCGCCAAATCTGCCAAAAAAAATTAGCTGCCAGAATAAGTGTCAGCTTGCCGATATCTTTATATGTTAGTGAAACAGCCAATTTACATTACATTATACAGAAAAATACAACAATTCCACATATAATTGCACTAAAATTGTTTAGCTGTGTACCAAATTCATAACATTACCACTCTCCTAAGGACTGCACGTCCTGGGCAGTACAATCCCTGGAGAGAAAGCCACACTTACAACTAAGGCAAATCAATGCAATACTTAAACAATAATTTCAGTAAATAACACAAAACAAACTAAATGCTAAATCAATGAATGAGTGCACATGTTTAAAAATTTAGAAACAAATAGGACCACAGTCTTGGTGTGCTATTTACAATTAATTTACAAATTTATATGCATATAGGTCATTAGTCTGAGTACAGGATTCATATTGTACACTTAAGACCACTATCGTGACTTATAACTGTGACCAACGTAAGGGGCTAGTCTGTCATAATGAAAAATTTTAGGCTTAGAATTTAATGACTTACAGGTCTGACTGTGTCAGGACCATCTCAAGGTGATTGGTCCCCCCCCCATCAAATGGCGGGCACTTACCTGTAACGGCAATGGCCACTCTTAAGGCCAGAAGCGGTGACCATTTTATTATGGAGGCACCTAATAGACAGCCACTGTTACCTCCTACGAAGGAACAGAGAGTTTTACATCCATGCCTTCTCCAGGATTCGAACCTGGGCCCTTTTTTATCGCAGTCAGGCTTCCCTAACCATTATACCGTCTGGGCGGCTCTCAAGGTGATTGTAGTTTAGAACCTCGTCACCTTCATTGAATCGATCAATGTTTTGTAGCCCTTGTATCGAAATACGTCTTCATCTTCTCGATCGCCAAGTTGACTCGCTTGCATACATCACTTCAAATCATGCCTAGAGATATTGGATGTATGCCTCAGGTGATGGCATCGCATCCAGAGGGCAACCAAACAAGACATCACAAGGTAGATGAAGGTCATGACCAAAGAGCATCCAGGATGGGGAATAGCCGATACTCTTGTAGACGGCACCGCAATAGGCCAGTAAAAGCAAATATAACTCTTATCCCAGTACTGTTAGCTCCTGGAAACTGCCAGCGAAATGTTATTAAGGATAGTTTGATTAAACCTCTCTATCATGCTGTCAGACTGGGAATGTACAGGTGTCATTTGGGTTTTGTTGAGGCCAAATAGCTTGCAGAGTTCTTTTATTACAGCCATGGTAAATTTTCTTCCTTGACTGAAATGTAACTGAAGAGGCACTCCGAACCTGGAAGTCCAATGCTGTATCATTACTTTTACTACAGTGACAGCCTCTTGATCAGGAAAAGAATACACTTTAGGCCACTTGGTGAAGTAATCAATGACAATGAGAATGTATTTGTTGCCATCAGCAGTTCAGGACAACGGTCCCATGATGTTAAACATGATGCGCTCAAAAGCCACTCCTACATTGAAATGTTCCTGCTTCTCTCAGCTGCATTTCTTCAGGCCTTCCTCATCCACACAAGCAATGCATGACTGGCACTACTTTTGCACGCTAGCCTTTGAATTACTCCATTAAAAGTGCTCTCAAAGATGATGCAAAATCTTCATTATTCCAAAGTGGCCTCTTGTTGGATTGCTGTATAATATCTTTCAATCTGTACCTGTATAATACTTTTAGAAAATCTGTGATCTTGGAAGTATCAGCAGCCACTGGAAAGCCTTTCAATAAGCCGAATTTAATTTCGGGTACAAAACGTCATTTCAAATATGGAATAAGTCCCAGAGAGCCTAGTAATAGGACTACAGATCAAAATGTCTTGCCAGGTAGGTTTTCCATTTTAAGACTGCTTTAAGTCGATTATGAGTTTAATGTCGCTGTTTTCCAACTCTTTCATGACTCCTTCATCACTCCATGGGTCTGGGTCAGATGTTGAATTCATAACTTAAAATGTGACCAGATTAAACATCTTGCATACTTGCCAACCTATGACACTCAAAAATCAGGAGATTTTTTAAGAAATCAGGAGATTTTTCACAATGTTAAAAATACTTTTTAAATGATAAAAATATAGTTTTTAATGATGAATTAACTTTAAATAGTTACTAAGTCTTAAATGCAAGCAAAACAAAAATACCTTAGACATAAAAAACATTTTTATTACTTGCATCGTAAAAAAAAAAAAGACACTTTAATCAGTTTTCATACAAATGTTATGAACAGTGGCAGATTTTGCTTTCGTTAAGAAAGAAACTTCATAATTTTGTTCATAGCAATTGCCACGTAGGCCTGCTTTCGCTAATAAAAGTTTTTCTAATGTGTCATCACTAATATTAGATCTAAATTTAGTCCTCGTTTTCGCAACAACACTGAAAATCTTCGCACACTCCGCATTACTATGGGGAACTGTCAAGATGGCCAACATAATTCTAGACAGTTCATTATATTTTAAAATTCCATCAGCACCTTTCAGTTTTCCAATTAAACTCCACTGGGTGTCAAACCTAGCTGATTCTATATCTTCATCCAAGTTTTCTAATTGTAAACTGCAAAATTGCGAATGCAGT